TGTCCTGAAATAAAGAGTGGACAGGGATGAGTACCCTCCTCTAAGAGTTCTTGCTGTGGTGGTGTCTCAGAGTCACTTTATTTTATTTTTAGACAGAGTTTCGCTCTTGTTGCCCAGGCTAGAGTGCAATGGTGTGATCTCGACTCACTGCAACCTCCACCTCCCAGGTTCAAGCAATTCTATTGCCTCAGCCTCCCGAGTAGCTGGGATTACAGGCATGTGCCATCACGCCCAGCTAATTTTGTATTTTTAGTAGAGATGGGGTTTCCCCATGTTGGTCAGGCTGGTCTCGAACTCCCAACCTCAGGTGACCCACCCGCCTTGGCCTCCCAAAAAGTGCTGGGATTACAGGCATGAGCCACCACGCCCGGCCTATTTTACTTTATTGAGACGGAGTCCTGCTCTGTTGCCCAGACTGGAGTGCAGTGGCACGATCTCTGCTCACTGCAACCTCCGCCTCCCTGGTTCAAATGATTCTTCTGCCTCAGCCTCCCAAGTAGCTGGGATTACAGGCACACACTACCGTGCCCAGCTAATTTTTTTGTACTTTAGTAGAATGGGGTTTTGCCATGTTGGCCAGGCTGGGCTTGAACTCCTGACTTCAGGTGATCCACCTGCCTCGGCCTCCCAAAGTGCTGGGATTACAGGCATGAGCCACTGCACTCGGCCATCACTTTAGATACTTAATATACAAATTCAGATTCTAAGTCTGCGTCCTCAGAGGTTCTCATTAGGAGGTCTGGGGAGAAGCCCAGTTTCTTCATTTTAAAAGACACTACAGGCTGCCTTTTATGTTTGAATAGCAAAAATAAATAAATAAATAAATAAAATACACTACAAGGGATTTGGAAGCACAACCTTCGTGGAGAACACTGTCACAGTAGTAGGATTTGCAAGCTCTTAAAGCCCACTAAAGCCAGGCAGGTAACAAACGGGTGGTGTGTGACAGAAGAGTGCTGGCGACTCTGATGAACAGGAAGATCTTAAGTTTTCTAAAACGCAGTCAGTATTTAGCTTTAGCTAGTTGTTGCCAGATAACGCCAGTCCAGTGTTGCTAGATATTCCACTTAATCTTTCCAAGAAGAGTTAGAAATCCTGATTTATTTGTGACATTCCCTATTTTTAAATATCAGCAACCAATTCAAAATTTAAACAAAAAAATTGAATTGTAGGCCAAAACATATGCGCTGGCTAGATCTGGCTCTGAATCTGCCTGTTGAAATCTCTTGACAACACTTTAGCCAAACAAAAGCTTGATTTAAGTCAAAATGATGCAGTCAACAGCTCTCTTGACTGGCAGCATCACATTGCTTCTGCAATGTGAGGCTCTCTGGGGTTCTGGATAACACCCAGCTTGGCATGGGGCAAAGTGCTCTGAGAGGGGGGTCAGGAGACCTGTTTCCTAATCCCTGCTAACAACTTGGTAGGTGACATTGGGAAAGAAATTCTCTCCCTTGTTACAGGATTTCTTTCTATAAAGTAAGGGGGATGACCTTTATTGTTCTTTCCAAGGTTCTAGATCATTCTTTTTCATGAAAATATATGTACTTACTATCTGTCAGCTACTTGAAAAGGAAACTTTTCAGATTAAGTTGAAAATTCACCTTTAATTGGCTTGAGTAACAACTAGTTCTTCCTCTCCCATATTCTCCTGTGTCTTCAGTGATTTGTGTTTGCATGGAAGTTTCTTTCTACTGTATGCTTTTGCGGGTATTTTCTAAGGGAAAGAGCTCATTTTGGAATAGAAAGTGTGGATGGGGTTGAGCATATGGACTTCTCATTTGCTGAATACTACGTTTGAATCAAATAAAAAAAAAAAAGGAATAGAGTTAATATGGGGAACATTCTGAAGTATAAAGCCACTTCCTTGAACTTCGCTGTTCAAATAAAACCTTGCAATTCATTCTTTTTTCCTTGTAGCTTCACTGCGATATAATACACACACAATAAAATTCATCTATATAAAGCATACAATCCAATGTTTTTAGTATATTTACAGAGTTGTGCAATCAACACCACTGTCTAATTTCAAAACATTTTCAACTCCTCAAAAAGAAACCCCATACCTGCTATTGGTTGCTATAGTCCTGGCAACCACAAATCTGCTTTCTGTATCTATAGACTTGCCTATTCTGGACCTTGTATATAAATGGAATTATACAATATGTGGTCTTTTGTGTCTGTCTTCTTTCATTTAGCATAATGTTTTCAAAGTTTATCCATGTTGTAGCATGTATCAGGACTTCATTCCTTTATATTGCCAAATAATATTCTATTGCATGGCTATACAACATTTTTTTGTTTATCCACTCATCATCTGAGGGACAACTGAGATGTTTCCATTTTTTGGCTATTATATATAACAATGCTATGAACATTCACAAACAAGTTTTCATGTGAATATATGTCTTAATTTCTCTGTTATAGATAAATAGGGGTGTAATTGTCAGGTTGTATGGTAACTCTACATTTAATCTTTTGAGGAACTGACACAAAGTATTCCAAAGCAGCGGCATCATTTAACACACCTACCAGCTGTGTATGAGGGCTCCAGTTTCTTCACATCTTTGTCAACACTTACCTGTCTTTTAATTTTAGTCATCCTTGTGTGTGAAGCAGTATTTCGATGTACTTTTTTTTTTCCTTTTTTTTTGAGACAGGGTCTTGCTCTGTTGCCTAGGCTGGAGTGCGGTGGCCCAGAGCTTGGCTCACTGAAACCTCCGCCTGCCAGGTTCAGCAATCCTCCTGCCTGGGCCTCCCAAAGTGCAGGGAATACAGACATGAGCAGCTACAATTTTGTTTTGCTTATGATTTTGTGGGTCAAGTATTCAAGAAGGGTCGGGAGTGATGGCTTATGCCTGTAAGCCCAGTGCTTTTTTTTTTTTTTGAGACGGCTCTGTCGCCCAGGCGGGAGAGCAGTGGTGCAATCTCGTGATCTCGCGATCTTGGCTCACTGTAACTTCCGCTTTCTGGGTTCAAGCTATTCTTCCGCCTCAGCATCCAGAGTAGCTGGGACTATAGGTGTGCACCACGCCCAGTTAATTTTTGTAATTTTATGTAGAGACGGGTTTTAGCATGTTGGTCAGGCTGGTCTCCAACCCCTGGGCTCAAGCGATCCGCCTGCGTCGGCACCTCAAAGTGTTGGGATTACAGGCGTGAGCCACTACAATTTTATTTTGCTCATGATTTTGTGGGTCAAGTATTCAAGAAGGGCTTGGAGTGATGGTTCATGCCTGTAATCCCAGCACTTTTTTTTTTTTTTTTTTTTTTTTTTGAGCCCACATTGTCGTGCAGCCGAGAGTGCAGTGGCGCGAACTTGGCTCACTGCAACTTCCTTGTCCCAGGCTCAAGTGATCCTCCCACCTCAGCCTCCGAAGTGGCTGGGACTACAAGTGCACGCCATCACTCTGGACTACCTTTTGTATTTTCAGTAGAGATGCGTTTAGGCATGTTGGCCAGGTTGGTCTGGAACTCCTGGGCTCAAGCATCCACCCACCTCGGCCTCCCAAAGTGCTGGGATTACAGGCGTGAGCCATCGCGCTCAGCCATCCCAGCACTTTGGGAGTTCGAGACTAGCCTGGGCAACATAGGGAGACCTAGTCTCTTAAAAAAAAAAAAATTACCTGAGCTTGATGGCATGTGCCTGTAGTCCCAGCTGCTAGGGAGGCTGAGGCGGAAGCATCACTTGAGTCCAGAAGTTGGAGGCTGCAGTGAGCCATGATTGTGCCACTGCACTTCAGCCTGGGTGACAAAGGGATCTTGTCTCTCAAAAAATAAAAAAATAAAAGATTAAAAAAAAAAAGAATTCAGGACGGGCTGGGCTGGGTGGGTTGTTCTTGCTTGGGGTCTCTCACGCAGTTGCAGTCAGATGCTAACAGGGGATGCCATCATTGGAAGGCTTGATTAGGCTGAGTGTCCAAGATGTCTCACTTAGATGGCTGGCAAGTGATGCTGGTGATCTGGTGGGAGCTCAGTGGGACTTTTTTCTTTTTTTTTTTTAAATGACATGTTGCTCCTGGCCATCAATGAGACTTCTGATTGGCATGCCTACATGTAGCCTCTTTAGCATGGCAGTCTTATGGTAGTCAAACTTCTTACTTTATTTCTCCCAGAGTGAGAATACCAAGAGAACAGCTGCATGGCCTCTTCTGATCTAGCCTGGTAAATTAGGCAGCATCTCTTCTGCTGCATTCTACTGGTTCCAAATGAGTTACCAAGTCCAAGAACTTGCAGTCACGTTCCAAGATTGCTGTAAATGCTTCCTGTGTACCAGCACTGTTTTATGTGATCATTTAATTCTTATTAAAAACCCCATGAGGGCGGGCACAGTGACTCACACCTATAATCCCAGCACTTTGGGAGGCCGAGGCGGGAGGCTCGCTTGAGGCCAGGAGTTCAACCCCTCACACTCACACTCCTCATTACTGCACATTTGTCACACATAAACATAGCCGCTATGACACTGTACTGACACATACAAAATCTGTCACATTCCGTCTTGCCCATGCAAGCTCAATCACTGTGACTTATTCTCCATGCTCAGCCACTGTCCAATTTTTCATACTGTCACAACCACCAGCCCATCACACACTCAATTACTGTGACACAGCTCTAATCCTCAATCACTGTCACATACTGTTTTTCACACAAATATGGTCACCATCTGTACTCTTAAAGCAGGGTATTTACTCTCCTATAAAATTGAGTTAATATGCCAACAGCCCATTTTTCACACACGCTGTCACATATTGTATTTTTCATCCATACAATCCCTGACATACACAATTAGGGTCACACACTGTTACTGCCTTCGTGCCACTCCCAACTGACACCTACTTCCACACTCTCACGCACTCGCTCACTAGCTAGGGATTGGATCGATGTGTCCGTGGAGGTCTGAAGCCCGGGTCACCTCCCGAACCTCAGCCCCAAGCGGCGCGGCCCCGCCCCACCCCGCCCCCTCATGCATATGCAGCACCTCAGCCTGGCAGCCCGGCCCCCAGACGGCCATTTGTGGCGGCGCTGGAGGCTGCGTTCGGCAGGCGCTGCGGAGACGCGTAGAGGAGCGCGCCCCCCGGCCGCTGCCGCCCCTGGCGGGTGCCGTCACCCCGCTTCTCCGCGCCTCGGGCGGTACCAAGCCAGCCCCCAGCGCCGCGCTACCGCGCTGACCGGCCCTCCCGACACCACCCGGTACCCGGGACCCCAGCGCGGCCGCTCGCCCGCAGCCAGCCGGCCGCACACGTCCCCAGCCGGGCCTAGGGCGGGCGGCGGCGGCGGCTCGGCGCGGTCAGGCTGGGCTCTGCGGCGTCCCCATGGCCGCGGCCGGCTGGCGGGACGGCTCCGGCCAGGAGAAGTACCGGCTCGTGGTGGTCGGCGGGGGTGGCGTGGGCAAGTCGGCGCTCACCATCCAGTTCATCCAGGTACCTGGAGCGGGCCTGCCCGGGGCGCCGGGGCGGCGGCGGGCGGGAGCTGGCGCTACCTGTGGCAGGGCGGCCGCCGCGACCTCGCCCCGGAGGCGCCTCGCGGGCCCGGGCCGGGGCCGGGGGCGGGAGGGCGCGGGGCCGACTACGCTCCTGCCCTGCGGCCGCAGCGTCGCGCTCTTGCCTCCTCCCGGGCGCGGCGTCGCGGGAGTAGGGCTTCTCAGGAATGTGGTCGGGAGGGCGGAGCTGGCAGGGTGGGAAGCACCGATCCACCTTACCGCTCTGGCCAAGGCCGGAGACCTCCGGGAGAGGCTGGGCCACCGAGCCGGGCTTCCTGCTCCGAGGGTCCGGGCGTGTGGCTGGAAGTGGAGCCCCGCGCGCTGCTTTTCCAGCCGCCTGCGGCCGCGCCTGCACCGTCGGGGCGATCGCAGTGGCAACTTGGCGGCGGCTCCGCGTGGTCTCCGGGCTTCCCAGCGCCGCCTGAGCCGGAGCTACCCGCTTCAAGCACTGTGTATTTCTTTGTGTTGTTATGCTTTTCTTATAAGTACTCTCTTAGGTAATGTGTCCGGGTGGGAGTGTGTGATAATGCCCCGGGGAAATGGTGGCTACGAGGAAGTTAAAAATGTTCTCTGATGGGGTGAGACCTTTTCCTAGGAATTCCTGATGCCGCCCTGCTTCTCGCCGTGCCTAGGTGAAGTTTGGGATGGGCCGGGCTGGGATATGACCGAGTCGTGCGTTCTGTTTTATAACCACCCTCTCCCCCACCCCCAGCCCTCCCTGGTTGCTAGAGGCGGAAAGTCAGGGGTTTGTGGTAAAGAAAAGGGAGGTGGAATTCTTCTTTCTTAGAATTTGCTCTTGGGGAGAGGTTTGAGTAGTCTCCTTTTGCGATTTTTAAAACACAAAGCCCCGATGTCTTTCTGCTTTTGTCAACCTAAAAGGTGTGGCATATGCTGGGAGAGAACGAAGGTACCCTGCTATAACAGGTAACAAGGATATTCTTCACAGTATCTAGAGTATGAACGGTGAAATATTTTTTTCTGGTTTCCTTTTCACCCATTTGTCAGATACCCGAATAGCTTATTTCACTTAGTGTTTATAGTGACATTAAAATATTGTACGGTAACAAATGTGATTGTCACCTTTCACATTGAGTAAATGAGCAATAATTGCTGCTATAATATTCCCTGGGATTACTACTGCTAAAACCTTTGTATCCAGGAAGAAAGGATGTTTTATGTAATGAGCATTTACAGTATGCTTATTAGTGGGTTAAAAAAAATCACTGAGTAAGGGGTGAGATTGGTTTAAGTTTAGCAGGCTACAGATTCAGGGGTGTTGTCAGGTTGCTATTTCCCTAGGGCGCAGAGAGATTGTACGTTATCTAATGGCAAAGCAAAACAATTTATAGCTAACCCTTTCTTTGGGGACTAGTGTGAAGGCCGGGAGTGGGGTGGGGTGGGGGGCGGTGGGGAGGGTGAGTGGAGGAGAAGTCTAGGAGTGGGAGAATAATCTTGGGTTCCAGTATTAGTAGTGTTACTTAAAAGATTTGAATCACAAATATTTAAGTTTTTTTGAGGAAGGGGCCACCTGAATTATTTGAGCCCATGTTAATTAATTAAGGTATTGGGCCCTTTTGTTTTTGGGGAAGTAATGGTATTAAACCATTAAGAAAGCAGTAATTGGACCTGGCGTCGTGGCTCTCTGTAATCCCATCACTTTGGGAGGCAGAGGCGGGCGGATCACGAGGTCAGGAGTGCCAAACCAGCCTGGCCAATATAGTGAAACCCCGTCTCTACCAAAAATACAAAAAATTGCCGGGCATGGTGGCGCGCGCCTGTAGTCCCAGCTACTCGGGAGACCGAGGCAGTAGAATCGCTTGAACCCGGGAGGCGGAGATTGCAGTGAGCCGAGATCGTGCCTGGGCAACATAGCGAGACTCTGCCTCAAAAACAAAACAAACAAATTAATTGCTGTTTTCCTAATAATTTATAGAATCATTTGTTGAAGCAGTACCTCCACTATGAATAGTATAGTACCTAGATGCTCTAGATGATATTAAAGAAGTAAAGGAAGCAGGTATGTATGAGGAAGACATATGTATATCAAGAGTATGAACTTTGAGTCTTACAGACTTGAGCATGTGTATCTTTTAAAGCTGTCACTTATCGACTGTGAGAACATGGCCAAAATACTCAGCCTCTCTGAGCCTCAGTTTTCTCACCAGTAAAATGGGTGTGATTACACATTCTTTTTAACTTTTAAATTACGACAAAGTTTGTAGCATTGTATCTAGCATGTTGTGTGTGCTCAGTAATGGTAGGTGTTATCAGTGTTTATGCCTACAGTTCTCTAACATGTTTAAATGCAAAGGGAATTCAGACTCAGAAAAGTCTGGAACAAATTGATGAAAGCACTATGTAGGCTTGGTGGTGGGGAGAATGGAAATGTTATATGTGGGAGTCATATGCTAGCTGGGAGAGAGGAGGTGGCAAGTGCAGAAGTGGGACTGATAGTTGATTTGGGACCTGTGATCTGGTCTCTGCAAAAAGGAGACTTTTTGGAGAGAACAGGAACCCGACCACCTGGATGCAGCCTCAGCTCTACCACTTGCTGCATGTGTAATTTTAGGCGGGTTACTTAACTTCTCTGTATATTAGTTTTCCCCATCTGTAAACTGGGGAAATATGGTGGACCACATACAGCCGTGAAATTAAATGAGTTAACATGTCAAGGGCTTAGAACAATGTCTAGTACAGTATATAGTAAAGCTGCATACATTATTATATTAATTTTAGATTATGGAACTAAAGTGATTTTTTTATATTTACACTTAATAGGGTAGCTATTCATTGCCTGACTCCTGGGATGTTAAAATTCATTCCACTATGATTGTTTAGCAGTAGTAACTGGAGGGAGAGAACACAGCAGACTAATCATTTTAATAAGCAGAAGTCAGTTCTCTTGGTAGGAGATTAGAATGGCACAAATTGGTCTTAATTATATTTTTGAGACTCCTGAAACACCGGACTGTTTTTACAATTTTCAGTATATATATTTTCTACTATGTAATTTTGAGCAGAAAAAATATATAAAATTGAGAACGGAGAATTTAAAAACAATGCCTTTTACCTTAACTTTCTTTGACTTAGATTTAGTTGTTACCCTCTGTTCATATGAAGAGTTGCAAAATTAGGAAACTAAGGAAGTTAAATTGAGATACCTTTTCCTTTTTAAAAATAAATATCATAAAGTAGCCATGATAAAACATAAAGTAGTATGTTATTTAATGAGTACGTGTGTGTACGTGACCTCCTCCTTTCTGTTGCTCATCATTCTTTGAAAAATGTGTGAAGTTCTGTTGGTAGGTAGAACACCTAAATGATGAGTAAACTCTAGGTAGGAAATGACTTCAAGATGGTACAGAGTGGTTAGGAGAGACCACTGGGTATGTAGGGGCTAGGTCTCTCTCTACCCAGGTGACTTTGAGTAGTTTCTTAATCGGCCTTTATCTTGACTGAGCTTCTGTTTCTTCATGAAATGTTTGGTTTGATTGAACAAATTTCTACACCTTTGAAATTCTAGGGTGGTTTTTTTTTTTTTCTCGTTTAACTAGCTGTGTCTTTAGTCAAGTTTCTTAGGTTCTCTAAACCCAAGTTTCACCACTTGGGAAGGGAGAATAATATTAAATAATAGTACCCTTAGGTTTTTGGAGTAAATAAAATAATGCAGGTAAATCATCCAGCACAGTGCCATCTACAGAGTAAATAAATAAGAATTGTTGGCTGGGCACAGTGGCTCACGCCTGTAATCCCAGCATTTTGGGAGGCCGAGGTGGGTGGATCAGTTGAGATCAGGAGTTTGAGACCAGTCTGGCCAACATGGTGAAACCCCACCTCTACTAAAAATACAAAAATTAGCTGGGCGTGTTGATGTGTGCTTGTAATCCCAGTTAACTCGGGAGGCTGAGTCAAGAGAATCACTTGAACCTGGGAGGCGGACGCCACTGCACTCCATCCTGGGCAACAGAGCGAGACTCTGCTTCAAAAAAAAAAGAATTGTTACTTGGTTTTATTTGCTGCTGTTAGTTCTGTATCTTGGTGTTCCTGCAAAACAAAATTTGTAATTTATTCATTTTTCTTTGACACATAATCTGGTCTATTACTTTAAGTCTTCACTGCCCTCTCCTTCCTGGCTCAACCCTATACTCCCCTCCTTCTGTGTGGTATTCAGGTGATGAATGTGTGGATTCCATTTTGAGTTGGAGAAAATTCTTTTTGTCAGTTTGGATTTGATTTTAAGAAATAATGATGTAAGCATTTAATTTTGGTGTTAGTGCTTTATCTGGTAACTCTGAGAAAAGACCATATATTTTTTAAAAATTTATAGGGCGAAGTATCCCAGTTTCTATTTTTTTTTTTTTAACATGTTAACTTTTTATTCAACAATTTGCCAGATTTTGAGGGAGGTAGGGGTTAGCTGATTTCTCACATCTTGAATTTCAGTCAGTCCTATGACCTGTTAGTCTGGACCCAGCATTGCTTTTTAAAAGTTTGTCTTTTGCTGAATGCTTTTTCATTGCTTTTTCCTGGGGCAGAGAGCTGAGAAGAGATTTCAGGAGATTTGTGTTAATAGTTAATTGATCCACATGTGAAAGTTGTGAGTTTAAATTCCCAATTTGCTGTTCCATTGCTACATCTTGAAGATTTTTCCTGCAATTAGAAACTACTTAAACTGTTAACTTTTATCTATGATTTTGAAACTCTAGACATTTTTAGTGTGTGAACTTTTTTTTACATTAATGTACAAATAAATTGTTAGCATTGAAAAATAAGACACCTGCCCCCAAAGTGATACCATACTAAAGGTTTTCTTGTTTGGGGAACAGCTGAAATGGTCCTGCAGGCAATTCCTAGATAAAATTTCTGTACACTCAGGGAAGAACATTTTCTTATGGAGGATGACTGCCTTTGGAGAAGAAGGAAATTTTAACATGCAGTTTC